CTAGTGGTCATACAACAACATACTGGTGGTCAACATACTAGTGGTCATACAACAACATACTGGTGGTCAACAAGTGTAATGCACTGCAAAAAGAAGGTGTTGTAGAAGTCACATGCATCAACAATGTATAGATCAGATTCGACAAAGAATTCAAACATCATAATAGTTAAGTTATAAAGTAACCGGTAAAACATGGCTAGGCATGAAGAGCTAGACCTTACTTCCTCATAGACACTGATAGGTAAGTACCTTTATTTCCTGGTCTCTCTGGTCCTCCGAACCTCATTCATCTTCCCCCTTCTCACTCCCGCTTCCTTCCTCATCATTTCTTCCCTCCTTCCGTATTTGCTCCTCATTAACCCCCTTTTTCCCTTTCATCTTTTTTTCCCCCATCGTTTCTACCCCACTTTACCCTGAACTCTCCTGATTTCCCTTTTACCTTGCCTATCACCTTCCACCTCATCTTTCTTCTCATCTTTACTCTTCAGGCGAGCAAAGTAGCCATCTATTCCTGGCTGGAAATGGTCGGCTTAGTTGAATTGCATTTTTAGGTACGAATTTATTCCCTCTTTTTCTGTTTATACATATAGGAGGCAAAGGTTACTACGTCAAAATATTGATGTTACACTTACGATTTTACTTACGCACGCGCGCGCGCGCACACGCGCAAACACACACACACACCACACACACACACACACACACACACACACACACACACACACACACACACACACACACACACACACACACACACACACTCACACACAAATAGGAATCGATAGGGTAGATAAAGATGTTTAACACGGGTGGTACGCGAACAAGGTGACACAAGTGGAAACTGAATACCCAAATGAGTCACAGCGACGCTAGAGAGAACTTTTTCAGTGTCAGAGTAGTTAACAGGTGGAATGCATTAGGCAGTGATGTGGTGGAGGCTGACTCCATACACAGTTTCAAATGTAGCCATGATAGAGCCCAGTAGGCTCAGAAATCTTCACCAGTTGATTGACAGTAGAGAGGCGGGACCACAGAGCCAAAGCTCAACTCTCGCAAACACAACTAGATGAATACACACATACAAACACTCACTAATGGGACCTAGGGTCCTGATCGACATTTACGAAGTTCACTTCAACTACCACAAATGAACTGCCAAATATATGGAAAATGTGATCCCAAGAAAAAAGTCCCAAAACTTGCCAATATATAGCTGAAAGTCGACTCCTGGAAGCACATCTAGTTAAGTGCATCTAGTTAAATACAAACACACAAAAGGAGACAACCCTGCATGAAACATTATTTTATTTAGCCTTCAAAAGTTTGGTAAGTTAACAGGCAAGACTCTCCGTATGATGACAGAGTTCATGCCTTTTTCGAATAGTTACAGCCTGAGAGATCCCAGGCTCGAGGTAATAGGGACACGAGACGCTGACCTTTGGGGACACTTGCACCTTACACCAGTCTATATACGAGCGAATGTCTCTCGTACGGAGGAGCACAGACTCTTGGAGCTAGCTTCACCGAACTTTGCAGGCGGAATGGTCTAGGGTATGGGACAGACAAAGGCAGATATGAATAGTCCTGAAGTTAAATGCTTTAAGAAATATTAACATTTATATAGACCTATCCTAGCGATTTTCATGAAGTCAACTGTGAAGTATTTGGTGTGGTTTCTCAAGAGGGTTTAGTAATCGTAACAATATATTTTCTGAGAGATACATAGAGTTCTTTCAATGCTTCTTAATAAATTTTCTGAAAGGATAAGCACCTTCAAAGGATACCTGATCAACCAGGCTGTGACTCATACGTCAGGCTGCGAGCAGCCGCGTCTAACAGCCTGGTTGATCAGTCCAGCAACCAGGAGGCCTGGTCGACGACCGGGCCGCGGGGACACTAAGCCCCGGAAGCACCTCAAGGTAACCTCAAGGTAAGGGGAGAGAGGGGAAAAAAAGGATGAAGAATTAGGAGAGAAAAAGGTGGCAAGGAGAAGATAAATGAATGGGTGAACCAAAGGAAATGGGGAGGAGGAGGAAGATGGGGAAAGTGGGTTAAATGGGAAAGGGCGGAAAGAGGTGGAAGAGAAGCATGAAATGGGTGTAGGGGAAGAAGATGGCGACTATCCCGAGCACCACCGGGTACCTCAACTCGTGTATGCATGTGTATATTTCATTCATCTGGGCAATAGGAGCCAAGAAACACATTATATCTTTGGACTTGGATTTCTTGGTTTGCACTGTGAAAACACTTCAATCATCTCCTGTGGTTGAGTGCTCAATAACTCATGCACAATATGCATAACATACCCTTAAACCTGTCTACGTATTGTATACGGTTTAGCCTTGTAAAAACACTTCAATTACATAAAACTGAGTGCTCAGTGACTCACAGCACCGTATGGTGTCTAACTTATCTCTCTCTCCCTGTCCACGTTTGTGGAGGAAAATAAAAGAAGTTCTTCGACTTTCCTTTCTCTTAGTTCTTGCTCACAATTTGTCATTCCTCGTGTTCTTTCTTATTCTCGTACATTGTTTTTGTATCCATAGGTATGTCTTTATTCCATGCTTTTGTACCTTCAGGCATTCGTTAGAAGTGCAGGACACAACAGACGCAGGCGTGTAATTGTGTGTGTGTGTGTGTGTGTGTGTGTGTGTGTGTGTGTGTGTGTGTGTGTGTGTGTGTGTGTGTGTGTGTGTGTGTGTGCGATAAGAATTGTGAGAAACAGGCCTTCAACTATAAGTATTAAAGCGTGGATCATGTGTTCGTTATACCACACGTGGAAATGAAAGAAACTTGAAAATCTCAACTTAAGACGAGCAGTGAAGTCAGCCGTCATCACCCATATGTCTGACCCCTGTTGACCTGATTGCATTCGACAGCCAGCAACTCCTTGGTAAATTATTGCGAAGGAAATTGAGTTTGACTTAATTTTCTCCCAAGAATTTTATAGAGGATATCCTGGAGAAACTTTGGATGACTCTGAAGCCTCGGATATACATACATACATGCATGCAACCGTTCATTAATACATATACATACGTACATCAATTTATATAGACGCGCGCATACACAATACACATGGTCAGACCAAGGAGTAGATCTCTTTTCATATCAGGCTTTTCTCCTCACTAGAGCAGTTCAAGCGAAACTGTGCAATGACACACGAGGTGGATTTTAGATTGACCGCGATGGATAAGCCACTGTTGTTGGGGATCAATAGTTGCTTCCACCTGCCTGGAATAGAAGGCAGAGACGTAAAAAAAGAGGGGAGAGAGGAACAGGTAAAACCGAGGAAATAAGACAGAATGTTAACAATAGAGGAATGAAAATTGCTTAATAGAAAGATGGAGAGGAGGAGAGGTCCCCTTCCTGCAGGATAATGGTAGATGCATGAAAATGGAGAGACGATGAGAGAACGTAGAGAGACAAGAGAAAGGAAGGATTTGGGAAATCGAGAAACTGAGATCCTGAAAATGAATGGAAAACTGAATAAAGAAAAACGTATATATGTGCCATTGTTTGTTGATGTTCTTGGTAGTGAAATACAGGTGTCATTGTATTCTGTATAGAGCTGCTGATGTTAGAGTTTTCATCTAAAGAATTAAACAAAACTTAATGTACCAACATCCAGATAAACTGAAAAATAATTAAGGCTTTCATAGATTCCAGGATTTTGTTTTCTTCAAACAAGGACCTTAAATAATGACCGAACAACACATCAGAAAGTGAAGAAACAACATTTCGGTCCGTCCTCGACCATTATCAAGTCGTGAAACAGAACCACAAAAGTATTCTTCATCACCCCCTGTGATCATCACAAATGAATCACTCATCACTATCTGTGATCTCAGATCTCTCTCCGCCAACTGGGACCTCAGATCTGTGTCTTCCTCATCATCTATGCAACAAAATGAACACATAGGCACGCACCTTTCTATGCTAGATGATGATTATGTAGTTCTGTCTTTCATCACAAGATTTTCAGATTTCATGAATATGTTTTATCACGATACAGAATATTTTAAAATTTTAAATATTTTGTAATCCTAATTATCATTATTTTGTTACAATATCTTTAAGAATAGAGATATAATGTAATTACTGTGATATGGATAAGTTTGCATTCGTTTTTATATTTTCAATGGAGAATAGAAATACATTTTCCTAAATTCTTTTGTTACTCGCTGGGGAACTTGACGTAATGCAAATCCATTAGCGTTTCCTCGACAAAACACGAAAGGAATTTCACATGTATTATTTAGCCTTGAAACGGAAAACAAAAGTATAGACTGTTTTTGTAAATTTTTATTTTATATATGTCATATGCAAAACCCAACTGCTGCACAAGTTAACACAATAAACAAATTGTATAGATATTTTTTGTAACGAAAATAATCAAACTAGTTTGGGTAAAATGGAAATAATTGTTAAAGCTAAAATAAATTATGAGGAAACTGCAGAGCCAGAATATATATATATATATATATATATATATATATATATATATATATATATATATATATATATATATATATATATATATATAAGAAGGGGGACCCATATAATATAATAAACACGCACACAAGAATAATCATAAGCACACGATTTTGATAGGCGTAAGTATTCACATACGAAAAATGCAATGAAATAATAGAAACACTTTCGTAATTAAACACATTTTCAAGGCGTGACAGATTAATATTTCGATATATCTGGTTAAATTACATATAGTAGCTTATCAAACAAGTATCAACAAATCATTAACATTACATATTAGACTCGATGTATAATAACAAATGGTGTCCCATATATATCATGATATACGCTCTGGTAGGATCTGCCCTACCAATATATATATATATATATATATATATATAGGTATATATATATATTCACATACGAAAAATGCAATGAAATAATAGAAACACTTTCGTAATTAAACACATTTTCAAGGCGTGACATTATGGTTAAATTACATATAGTATATATATATATATATATATATATTAAAACACACTATGAACATAGATTTTACTAGCTCATTACCTCTTTATTTGCAACATGCATAATAAGGATAATTTAAATTCAAAGTATGTCACGAACTGACTGCAGGCGCTAAATCGACTGCTAAAACTTTATCAATATATTTCTCTATGTAGAAGCCTTTTAAAGCCATTTACAGCCAACAGATAAACGTAATTCTATATATATCCTTAAATCTAACAGTTAACTTATCACGTATGTGCTCTATATATTAGAATTGTTTCTAATTTCTATTTAGACAAAATTAATTGCATCTCGAATTTCTAAGTTTATTACAGTTCATTCACCTAATAATTCTTGACTCGGCAATTAGCTTAATAGGTTCTGCTATCTGCATGCCTTCCATGGCGCGTATTCAGTTTTTTTCCATGTTGCTGGTGAAAGAAAAAAAATCACTGATATGACGCACAATACAGAACTTGAAGAATAATAGCGCAAATTGTTTTCAATATCACTAAATTGACGTTTGAGCTATTATTTTTTATCCGTTGAACTTCACTTATGCTGTGTTGTGTAATAAAATTATTTAGGTTATATGAGAAGTTTCCTACGTTAATTTTGGTTCAAAATATGGAAAATGCACGTAAGTGTTGAAATGAGAAAAAGACGATTCATGATGATAATGAAATGCTAAACCCCCAATTGCATGGAAATTTGGGTTGCCAATAGCATTACATGCAATGTAATTAGCTGATGTAATCTAATCTAAAACAATGTACTGATGCAATCTAATACATCAGTATGAATGTTTATGGGATGGCGAGTGACCACATATAACTTTGATGTGCAGTATTTTTTTAGTTATCCATTTCGTGTCAGTCCCTTTACTATATTGAAGAAAGCTTTCTGGAAATCCTTGTTGAAGACGGTATAGATGACAGGGTTGAGGCCAGAGTTGACGTACCCCAGCCACTCTATAAAGCCGTAGACCTTGACGTGAAGAATTGGGCAAGATGGACACAAGGGGAGAATGACATACATGAGGAAAAATGGGAGCCAGCACACGACGAAGCACCCCATAATAATGGTGAGAGTCCGCACCAGACGACGCTCCTGGGTCAGGGATATCCTCTGTTTGTTAGCAATGAACTTACTGATGACGCTTCCATTACTCTGTCGGTTTACACATGTGTCCGAAATCCCAGTGGTTTTATCATCTCTATTTTGGCCAGATTTGTCGTGGTCACTAAATGATAATTCTGGATCGGATTGCCAGTCCGTAGAACATGGAGTTACACTTCTGCTGGACATATGTCCAGGTCCTATGCATTCAGAGTTTTTGAGTGTGTTAATTCTAGAATTTTTGCCGGCAATTACTTTCTTCAACAGTGCAGCCTTGGCTCGCTCACGGAGCCTTCGCTTGGTGGCCTGGTAGATCTTGACGTATAAGACGGCCATCAAGATAAGTGGGAAGTAGAATGACAGAAATGAAGAGTAAAGGATGAATCCAATTTTCTTTGAAAGAAGGCATGGTGTATCTTCAGTAAATACATCCGGCCAGTCATTCCAGCCTAGAAGAGGAGGGAAACTAATAATGAAGCTGATGGCCCACACTAAGCTAATCATGATCATCACTCGATTCAGGGTCCGCTTCTGGGCGTAGTTGATGGGGTCGGTGATGGCCCAGTAGCGGTCGAGGGCGATGGCGCACAGGTTGAGGATCGACGCCGTGCAACACATGATGTCGCAGGTGAGCCACATCTGGCACATGCTCTTCCCAAATATCCACTTGCCAATGAGACTCTTGGCGATGTTAAAGGGCAGCACAAAGACGGCCACCGTCAGGTCGGCCACGGCCAGGGACACGATGAAGTAGTTCTGTACCTTCCTCAGCGGCCGGTAAGTGAACACGGCCGCGATAGCGAAAATGTTGCCGACTATGATGAAAATGATGATGATTCCTAGAGTTACTACTGTCAACACTACTTCCCAAGTGGCCACCGATTTTGTAAGATCTTCAGCACCTTCGTCGGCTGTGTAATTTGTTCCAGACATTGTCGTAAAGCGAGTCCCAAAAGGTTCCAATTCTCTTACCGAGTTTGAATTAATCGTCTAATATCAATCCGTGAATTGTAATGGCTTTGTTGTTCATCGCTAATATTTTTCGCCACTAATAAAATGTTACACGATATGCTTTTATCACAAATTTCTCTGGTCAAAATATTGTTATTTTTTTCTAAATATTTATATCACCCTTCAAGACTTCTCAGACGAGCTCAGCGGACTAATGATGCCATTGCTTCTCATCAGTCTGAAAAAAAAACATAGAAACAAATATAGTGTATTACCCAATGGAATTCAAAGATGTTCTATATATATATATATATATATATATATATATATATATATATATATATCGTACTCTTTTTAGAGTTGCTACATTGCCCAAGGTCCTTTATAGTTGTTCCTATAAATTCATTTGAATATTCATATATTCATTTCTTACATTTTAACCCATAAAAAATTTACGTAACTAAAGTAGGCTGATTATTCCTGAATAATACCTAATTAAATAAAATTTCAGAATAATGAAATTAATAACACGAGCAAACATTCAAATATGTTAATATTTATATAAAAATGATCTAGCAATAAAGGAGCGAAAAAAATCAAAGCCTTGTTAACTAAGTTTAAAAAGCATAATCTAAAGAAATAGTTACAGCTTGGGGACCTTTCAAGCTTTGTTTCATATATGTATATATTATATAATATATTACAGCCTACACATAATATTGAACGTGACGATGTTTCGAGCCATCCTGGCCCCTTATCAAGTCACATCTGAGACATACATGGAAGCCGTTATATGATCACAGAGTACATGAGATGAGAGAATAGGAGATATGAGACTGCAGATGAGATGAGAGAATAGTTGAGATTTAGGTGGAAATATATTTATGCATAAAAAACGGGACAAAAACCTGCTCCCTATATGAATGGAGAAACAAAACAATGGAAACAAAGAAAGGATTGAGAAATTTCGACAAAAGTAAGGAAAAAGAGAAGTAGAACCAACTTAGAAAAAAAGGACAGAATGGCACAGGACTGATATCTAAATTAGATCTATCTTTACTACGAAAACTAGAGCGTTAACTGACACCGAGTAGGTAAGCGTCAATAGCAACAAAGTCAGGACCTGGTTCATGGGTATCAGTGAAAACTTTCAGTTCTGATTATCTCGAGTGCTTTTCTGGGTATATATTGGCTTCAGTTTTATTGCTGACCTGAGTACATCATATGTGTGTCACTGGTGATCTTACTAAGTTTCCTACTGCACTGTTTGCATTTGGTGGGGAAGCTGATAAAATTCTCGACTTTGAAGAAATTCTAATTGACTCGTTGACCAAAGAAGCTAACATCTTGCCACCCCAACTGTGACACGAATACACACATGCATTGCCAAACACGAACCAATTGCACCTCGTTTTGATGATGCCGTAACATCAAAGGTTGGTGGACCCTCTGTTATCTTTACTGATGAGATCAGTTTATTTCCTGGAGGTAAAGAGTGGGATCCTGGAGTGTGTTGTCATGGAGGATGCTTGAATCGTCTCCAGCATATTATCTGCTAGAATGAAATTACTGGGGTAATACTGTATAGTGTTCTGCGAACTGCTTCATTCCACAGGAACCTTCATGACTGAAGAAACGTAATTACGAGGAGAAAACACTAATCCATTACGACTGTATAAGACTATGTTTTTAGTATTCTTAGATGGTCAGGGCGTGTGGCTATGTAACCCCTCTTGCAGGGACGATGTTGAGTGGATGAGTAGGTGGACAAGAGTGGATGTAGAGTGGAGAACCCGGTTAGAGTTCAGAGGGTTAACATTAGGTGGAGAATAGGGGCAGGTGAAGGAGATATTTCTCATGATTTGACCATGTAAAATGCATTTGTTTAGCCTAACTAGAAACATTCGTAGCTAATCATCCCACCTAACCTATCAAAGCTGGGAAAACGGTAATCACGCGTAGCGTCGACGGGTTGGGAGACGAGACCACACACTCGCTTATTCTTCATACACTAACAAAAATGGCTCCCTACCATTTTCCATTATCAGCGTCACCGTGTGTGTGATATACTCGGTGGTGGTTGCTGCTCTATCTTCCCGGAAGCTGAATAGTCAATATTTCGTTACACTGGTCGCACCAGGATGCTTCAAGCCCCTCCCCCTTTCACTATTTACTATGTGGAAAACCCCCAAGAGAACCGGATGACACCTCTCTTACATCTCAATACTCGGAGACACAACACAAACAACTTACCTTTTTTTATGCAGTTTGTGTTGAAATTATGCAACGAAGAAATTTTCCGCCACTCACAAGTCCTCCTGGGATATTAACAGGGATATGTACAGAGTCCCAACATGCTTAGATCACGTGTTCACTGGATATTGAGTAGAAAACCCGCAGCTCCTCCGCCTAGCGTCCGCCTGCTCTGGTCGACAGATATAAACCTGCATTGGTGTATTATATGGTTCCCTAGTATGTTTACTTAAACTTTTCTTCAACACGATGGATCCCCATTTAAAAAGAGACGGAACTATTTATATATATATATATATATATATATATATATATATATATATATATATATATATATATATAATATGTCGTACCTAGTAGCCAGAACGCACTTCTCTGCCTACTATGCAAGGCCCGATTTGCCTAATAGGCCAAGTTTTCATGAATTAATTGTTTTTCGACTACCTAACCTACCTAACCAAACCTAACCTACCTTTTTCAGCTACCTAACCTAACCTAACCTATAGAGGTAGGTTAGGTTAGGTTAGGTAGGGTTGGTTAGGTTCGGTCATATATCTACGTTAATTTTAACTCCAATAAAAAAAATTAACCTCATACATAATGAAATGGGTAGCTTTATCGTTTCATAAGAAAAAAATTAGAGAAAATATATAAATTCATGAAAACTTGGCTTATTAGGCAAATCGGGCCTTGCAAAGTAGGCTGAGAAGTGCGTTCTGGCTACTAGGTACGACATATATATATATATATATATATATATATATATATATATATATATATATATATAGTGTGTGTGTAAATCACGAAGAAATCAACATATGTTGAACAATGAGACATTGGCTGGTCATGAAAGAAGGAATGAAACATGTAATTCCTTAAGTACTTTCGTATTCATCATATATACGAAATATATGAAACAAATAATAGGCTGAACTATATTAACTCATACAAACTCCAGCTATAGCAGCAGAGGCTGCACCAGCTACAACACCAAATGCAACCGATACAACTTCATAGCCAGAAACAGAATCATTTGTATAAATTCTATCATTAGTAGAAATAGCAAAACGGCAGCAGCAAATGCGACATCAGCAATATAAACTGCAAATCAATTTCAGCCGTAGCAACAACAGCAACACAGCAAGAGCAGCAGCACTATTAAACAGTTTTATTATTTGTATTATTTGATTCAATTTAATAATTTTCACTATAATAAATTCCATTGTATGGTAATAGATAATAACAGTAAATACCTTGAGTGTGATTTTTTTTATATTTGTTTCTTGATGCAATATTGTCTCCATCTTCCCTTTCCCCTCCCATCCGATACAAAATAACATCAATTATGTAATTCCTTTATTCCCAAGAGAGCTAACTTCGGAAGGGACTTCGTGCGTATCCCACAAAAGGGGAAAATAACGGCATATATTTAATATATCCTTCAGTGTTAGCATCTTTTGTAATTATTTGAATGCTTCACACTGTTATGGTTCCGATATTGTTGTGGTTCTTATCTTCATACTGAAAATAGCACAAATTAACGTAAATATGTAGAGTGTATGTTAAATACAACTATTGTATTATGTTATGATAAAGTTGATGGTCAAAGATCACAATTATATTTTATTATGTTACTAAACAGAGTAAACTGGTGGTACCTGGGTCGACTCGGGGCGAGCCTCGACCCGGCATCATTCCACTACAAAAAAAATCAGAGAAAAGTTACGAGAAACAATGATAATAAATTGGAACATATACTGCAGAGTGGCATCCCTAACTTCTATGAAAACACATTCTGCCACGTGCTTGTGACTGGGCCTTTGAGTAACTATTTGACATAATTAACATTTATTACCGTTTAGTAATGGTAATGTTTTCTCACAGACTTAATAACACAGGATAAAACCCCAGAAGTCTTTTGGGGTTGAACACCAAATCTTGATGAGACTTACATCTCGGTGTCTAATCATCGATGAGATGTAAGTCTCATCCTAATCACACACACGCAGACCCTGAAAAAAAGCATTCAGGAGAAAACGAAAAACTTCGTGAAAATTCCTTACATAAATTTCACAAATATACAAGTATGGGGTTTTATCCTGTTTCCTACAGTTGCTATAAGCTAACTATGGTGAATATTTTTTTTATTATTTTTTTTTATTTTGGCGACAACAGTGTGTAATATTTTACGATATAGTTTTAAAAAATAATTGTTTCGGATTTATTTGTTTGCGAGTCGACTCGCGCAGGGGACACCACCACAACTTTATGGAGGTGGCTTTGGGAGCCGGCTACATTTTAATGGAAGTAATGGGGCCGACCCCGCCCTGCCCATGTTGGGGCACCATGCAAAGGTAAGTATCAAATAATCTATTTTATGGATATTATTGGATAAAATAGCTTCAGGATTCCATTTTCCTGATATGTTAATGAAAAACAAAGTGCATTTTGTATTTATAAATTATTATTGTAAATTCAAAATCATCTCAACATAGTTAACGAAGACAAATGTGCAACACAGAATTATTCAATTAATAATTAGTTGAATTAGTTGAAAATTTAACTAATTAGTTTAATGAACTAATGTGTTAATTTCACAATAATTAAATTTTGAAATGCAAATATTATTAATGTGATATATATGAAAATAGATATATACCATTACACAATACAGAGTTAGGCAAAATTCTATACAAAAATAAAAAATTGATTCTCATAAAAAATTGAAGCTTAATAATATGAAAAATCCCCATCCCTTCTCTGATTATCTTAGACATAATTATATACCGAGAAAGAGGACATATGTATCAGCAATAATATTTAAGACAACGTATTGTATTAATGAATAATTAACAAAACGTAATTACAATGTTTATGAATGATATATAAGATTTTCTAAATATTTCACTGATCTGACCACCTATCCAAATATCTCGCCATAACATTTTTTGCATATATATATATATATATATATATATATATATATATATATATATATATATATATATATATATATATATATATATATATATATATATATATATATATATATATATATATATATATATATATATATATATATATATAATATATATATATATATGAGTGTCAGACCACGGGGAAGGATTTAGACAGGAATTTCCTTAAGTACTTTCGTATTTAATAAAACATCTTCAGAAGGATGACGATCCTTCTGAAGATGTAATATTAAGGTCTGACACTGTCATATTGTTCATCAAGTGTTAATTTTCGTGTTTACACACACACACACATACACACACACATATATATATATATATATATATATATATATATATATAATTATATATGTGTGTATATATTTCACCCCTCCCCCCAAAAAAAAAATAATATCGAAAAAGTCTTTTTAGGTCGTCCAATGCACAAATATTCTCACTTCCTCCAACCCGTCTTGTTGTTTTTTCAATGTTTTTAATAATATACTGTTTACAAGTCGAAGATTAACAATCAATGGTTTTCAATCTCTTCTAGACGTCTAGCCTCGGAATCACTTCACTACCACGCAGACACAAGAAAATGTCACCCATTCACACCCTGGTATTGTCGGTGAGCTTGGATCGCAACTCATTCAGAATGCTCTTTGATAATTCGCTTCAGAGGTAAAGGGTTTCCGATTCTATAGAGGACAAATTTCAAATTCTACAGGGGACAAATTTCTAGTGCTATAGGGGAAACTTTTCTACCATTGGCAATGTTCCATATAATTGGTGGGCTTTACGGCTTTCCTACGGCATTTAGTCACATTTGCTTCACCCACACAACAGAAATTACAGGAAAAAAATCCTAAGTGTAAGCACATTTGTAGTCCCAAATTATCTACCTTCCAGTTCATCACAGCTAAATTGTGGTCTGATTTCGGCGACATATTAAACTGTCAGTATTTTATGTATGAATTGAATATATATATTGGAGGTGCTGTGCTTGATGTCATTACCTGGTCTTGCATGCCAATCCTCGTAACTCTACAAATCAACCGCCCAAGTCATATTGGTCAGCTTACACACCTGTTGCAAATGCACTTGTATTCAGAGACGGAGAACCACTGTACCTGTTGCAGACACGGGTGCTGCAAAAGTAAATTATTTTGCATTGGGGTCATTCACGGCTTTGAAGAGGCTAATCGCCTATTGTATCTTCGTTGGGATTGGTTAAATGACAGTGTGCACAGATCAGGAAATGCAATTACTCCATTCTTGCAGTCTTCGTGTCACTGACTTTTTCATACAGATAAAAGCAGTTCGGAAGTCCTTGTTAAAAACTGTGTAGATGACAGGGTTGAAGGCAGAGTTGACGTAGCTCAGCCATTGTATGAAGTCAAAAATCCTCATGTCGAGCTCTTGGCAAGATGGGCAGAAGGGAAGAATGAGGTACATGACTACGAAGGGAAGCCAGCACCCGACGAAACACCCCATAATAATGGTGAGAGTCCGCACCAGACGACGCTCCTGGGTCAGGGATATTCTCTGTCTGTCAGCAATGAATTTGCTGATGACGCTGCCGTCAGTCTGTGGGGTCACACCTTCATCCAAACTGCTTGATGTTTCTAATTCAGAATGACAACTTGTAGGAAAAGGAGTTAGACTTCTGCTGACTCTGCCCTTAGATCCCTTTCCTTCTGAACTGGTAAGGGTAACAACTTTTATCTTTCCTGTAGAATCCAGCTTCTGTAACTTGGTACCTTTTGCTCTTTTTAGCAGTCTCTGCTTGGTAGCCTTGTAGATCTTGATGTATATTACGACAATTAGGACCAATGGACAGATGAATGATCCGGCTGCAGAGTAAATGACGTATCCTACTTCTTGCGATAGAAGGCATTGCGATTCTTCAGTAAAAACGTCCGGCCAGTCATTCCAGCCAAGCAGAGGAGGGAAACTAATGACGAAGCTGATGGCCCACACTAGGATGATCATGATGAGCATGCGCTGAATGGTCCGCTTCGGGGCGTAGTTGACGGGGTCGGTGATGGCCCAGTAGCGGTCGAGGGCGATGGCGCACAAGTTGAAAATGGACGCCGTGCAGCACATGGTGATGGTTGTGAGAAACATCTCACACAGGTACTTCCCGACTACCCATTTGCCGATGATGATGTAGGCGACGTTGAAGGGCATCACGAACACGGCCATCATCAGATCAGCCACGGCCA